GTCTTAAATGAATTCTTATTATTTCACTATCCAATCCAAATAATTGCTATTATTTTAGATTGATAAGCGGATTGCTTATTGGTTAATATACCAACCTGTAATATCAGGTAATATTTTTCTTTAGCCTTTCAATTTTTGTTCTATTAATTCTCTGGTTTTATAGATTCAGATTGCAATTTCTGATCCTATAAATCAAATGAATAGCAACAAACTAATAAAAAATTAGTAAAACAATTAATCCTAAGGGGAGGAGGAATCCACTAGACATCTAAGTGAGATCTTAAGAATGAAATACACCTAAATCGAATAACTTCCTTCTTAAACTATCAAATTTAGAAGCCTTAGATAAAGGTTTGGATTAATTTAAGATAAATATCCTTTGCCACTTAAATTTGAATAATTATTATAAACCATGAAAACTATCGAAACGACTTATTGGAAGAAATAAAAACCTATCGCTTATGAATTTAAAACTAATGCTTTCAGGATCTTATAAATTGGATAATTATTATAACTTGATAAAGAGCTTTATTAAATTAAAATTGTAGAAAAATCTGTTTACATTGTTCTTAAAGATGTTCTAATTCAAAATTTACCTTCATTTCAATCATTTGCTCATTAGTTAGCTTCTGTCTTTGAAAGTAGAAGAACAAGATTCAGAAATATTTTAGATAAATTAGTGCAAACTGTTCATGAAAATTACCACATTATAAACTAATAGGATTTTAAAGAACAATTAATTTAATATTTAACTTTAAAATTAGTTTTGTTAATAATAAAGAAATAAAAAAAAAACAACCCGTTAGGCTGCACCTCAAGCAAATGATTAAATCGGAAGTTTTTAACAGTAAATAATTTTTCTAATGATTAAAGCAAAGTTAAAAAGCAGCTGAATAAACTTTGAATCAGTTTATTTGGCATAAAATACTAAAATAGCATCAGCAAAAATCTTGTAGATTCAGATTCAAATCTGTGACTTTTGAGGTCAGCAAAAATTAGATGAAGGAGAGCATAAAAATGTTAAATGGAGGATTATTCTGTACTGGTAAAGTTAAGCTTGTAGGAATTATGCAATTAATATAGCCATCATTTTATTCACTTAAAAAGATGGTCAATTAGTAAATTTATTCCAACAGAAAATGAGGAACTGCAAGATTATGTCTAACTATTTTTTTAAAAGATATAATGAGTTCATATAAAAGATTTAAAGAGCGGGAGGAAATTAAATTAGAATATCTAATAATAGTTTTATTTTATTGGGCCTTTTTTAAATCGTGCATACAGCAAA